GTAGTATACAACTACGTATGTGGGAACGGCACAGCATCACTTTGACAAACGCACGAAAATTTCCGTTTTCTTGATTTCTAACAGAGAAAAAAATACGGCAAAGGCGTATATAGATATCTTATGTGAATAGTGTTTACGTGAGCAAGTTAGAATTTTTGTAGGTTTTTTATGAACTGAGTTACGATTTTTCTCAATTTTTCGGACAGTTGAATCTTTTTAGTTTTTGGCTCGAAACTCGTGGTAGATCAGAGTTGTTGCTGAAGCAAGATTACCTTCTTGTAGAGCTTGCTTTGCTCTATCGAATGGTACTTTGCAACCTAGTTAGAAATAAGAAGTGTATGACTTATTGCGGTTGGAATTCAAAACCTGCATTAGTTTTGTTACAACCTAATATTATATTAGGTTGAATCATAATTAATGCACGTTTTCTATACTTCAACTTTCAACCGAGATAATTCTTTTTTGAAAAGACATTTTTGAAGGCAATAAAAACTACTGTAACCACTAAGTCAGTGGCTATAAAAGTTATACTTTTGCGTGACTGTATCTATCACAAGAAAGATTTTCTGGCCTGAAGATTGCCAACAACTTTTTTCAGAAGCCTCTACTTTGAGAGAGCATAACTTATGTTGAAATAAAGTAGAATGAAGCAGACTTCGCTCATCGTGTAGCCAAGGGTCTCTTGAGCAGTAATGCCAAGTTTGGATTTTGTGGAAAATTTTTGAAAGAAAATATCGCGAAAAAGTCGAAAGTACTCACTTTTTTATGACATCTCGGCGGGTGCAAAAATCGGTCATTTTTGAAATTATTTCATTTTTTTCCGCTGGAAAGCGAGAAAACCCTAGCGTTTTTCTACCATCAGATGAACTAGGTCTACCCTTGCTGGATAGTGCAAAAGACCTGCAATCACCTTCTGCTTCGAAGTTTTATATGGCACGGAAGGGCCGCGACGATCATTCAAGTTCGCAAGTGAATTTCTCGGCTCAGAATTCATGGAAAATTTTGTTCAAATAGCATCTTGTAGCACAAAGTTTCCTAATCCTTATGCATATTTTTTGAAATTAATACGGCTATTCTTAACGAATTTAGGGCAGAAAGAGTGAAAAGCAAAAATTTTGGGATTTAGTCTCTTTTGTTTGAAGGCTCGGAACTTTGGAATGAACGGAGATTTGCGAAAGTGAAAGGGCGCATAAGAAACTAGAAGGAACGCTCTTTTAGATACCGTAAAAAGTTTTTGAGGAAATTGATTACACATTAAATATCAGCTCTTAGAAAAAGAGGTAGGAAAAACGTGCATTAATTATGAATCAACCTAATATTTGAAGTAATTTAGCATCAGGAGCTTCAGAACCCATTTCCCTATCAACAATAGAAGGACCTATTTTGAAAGAAGTGCATCAAAGTTTCCGAACAAGCACTTAACGCTTTGTCCAACAGATAGGATATCTAAACACATACTTTTTTATCGTCTGCCATCATATATTCAAAGAGTTTTTCTCCGATTACTCTGATGATCAGTAAGGCCCAAATTATCATAGAAAAAATTTTGTATTCCCTACATCGATCTACTAGATTACCAAACTTCGTCGCATGATCGCAGTTGACTAAGAGTTCCAAATACGGCACTGAATTTGCAAGATATGGTAATTCGCTATATTCTTAGATGATTTCAGAACTTGCGTAAAATAAACTAACTTCTTATATACCGTGATTGGAAGACTCATAACTTCTGCTTGTTTATATTAATGCGATATGTTTCACAAACTTAGTCAGGCGCGAGCACTTAAAAGTTTTCAAGGAAGCGCCAATCTATCCGAAAACATGAGTAAAACATAACTCAAAATGCTGCAATTCACCTGCGAGATCTGAACCTTTTAAAACCTAGAATTTTCTTGTTTCTCGATTCCAGTTCTATTACCCTCATATACAATAAAGCATGTCTTACAGTGCGTGTACACAATTTAGAATGAGGACACCTAGAGGGAAGAGATGGGCGGAGGCGCCCTTTGGCCCCGGGAAGGTGTGATGTTCTTCAAGGGAATTCTGGAGGTGCCAAGTACCCCTGCGAAGAAAAGCGGCTAGGCTTTGAGAACTCCCGCCACGCCGCCGTCCCTTCAGATGCTAAGGAAATTCGAAGAAATTTTTTGAATTGATGTTCAGTAGCGAACTTGCTTCAAACAAGACCAAGTTTTGGATTCAGGGGTTTTCAAGGTTGCTCTTAGTAGTGGGATTTGTTTGTTGCAAAGTCAAGGTTTAGCACCAATAATGACTAACCGAGATCAAAATCTGGATTTAACCGAAATTTTTTGAAACGAGATCAAAATTTAGGTTTACGGGTTTTCGAAAAATTATGGATGAGCGGTTGAAATAAATATCCAAATAACGAAGATGTTTTCCATTCATTGTTTGACATCATTCCGAACTTCCTTTACTAGTTTGGCATTGGGACAGCGTCAATGACCTCGATGATCTGGGATATTTCAAGAAATACTTGGCTGGCTTGTTATCGATGCTGACCTTGACATATTCGTACTAAATTTAGGGAAGAAATTAAAACCGGAATATATATTTCCGCATTTAAAAAATTCGGTTCTTGAGAAACGAACATCTTTTGTCTTCAAAAAAGTTTATTAAATCGCTAGATATTGCACAAAACATACATCGTTATCAAAAAATCAAAAAAGCCTAAACTTCGGTCTTGTTTTGAGAAGGGAAAATTCGAAAACGTACATACGAATCACGGCTCGGCACAGGTGGCTTGTAAGCCAGCTGGTATCGTTTTTTGGGACGAAAGGCAAAGGGGGTTTCGTTTTTGTGACCGAAGAGACACGGAAAATTGGCGACGGCGACCTTTTTTTTAGTCGACATTTCGTTTTTTGGGGGATTTTGGGGAATTTTTCAGATTTTTGAAGGAAATTTGGTTGAGGGTCAAAGGGGACTTCGTAAAAATTCCCAAAAGTCAGGGGGGGGGACTTCGTTTTTTCCATTTTCATCGAGCCACCTCGCGCCGAGCCCTGATACAAATTTCGATCTCGGTTAAGTACTATCGATGCTGAACCTTGACTTTGCAACAAACAAATCTTACTGCTGAAAAGAACCTTAAAAACCCCTAAATCCGAATTTTAGTCTTGATTGGAGTAATTTCGCCACTGAACTACGATTTTAAAACTCGGAATTCGGGTTTCAGCATCTGAAGGGACACTGTATAAGGGGGGGGGGCTTGCAATGCGGTATCCTGAGGAGCTTGATTATAGTTAGTCCGAATGTATCTGACAGGCACGTTACTTATGTGGAAAGGCTCGGGTGAAAAATTTCTCGCACCGCGAAATTTTTTCAACAATTCATGCACCATTCGAATTTGATAATGGAAAATCAATAGACCGACAACTTCTTTGCAGAGCTTCTGAGCCGTGAGATATGAGGGATATCTGGCCGATGTGGCAGTTGATTTAGGCTGCTCACTTTGTGCTTCTTATCGCAACGAGAATGAAAGCACGAGGAAGTCGACGTATATTCATTAATGAAGGCTCGCTCTGTAACAAAGGTAGATAGCTGGCGGTAGTGACTTCTTCACTGGGCAGAAATGTACTGTTAAAAATGCACATAATTTTAGATAAAATGCCTCTCGTTGAAAGGGGGTCAAAAGACGACAGTCTTTGTAAATCCTTATTTCCTAAGGTTTTGGTCAATAATTTGATTAATAGCTAATTAATAATTTGCCGGATGAAAAAAATTGCCAAGTTTGGAGATTGGGGCTGAGATATTTGCTATTAGCTTGCTCCACCCCTCCCTCTCAAGGTTGACCTTCATGAGTCACCGGAGCAAGGGTTTTTTGAAGCCAAAAAGCAAAATGGCTGCAAACCATTTGAAAGCTGAGATCATGGAGAATTGACACAGACCGGTTTTTTTATTTCTTCTTACGAGGGAATGATACTTTATGACCGTGTGCTTTTGAAATGAAACGTTAGACATTGGATGCATCTTGGAGCGTTGATTTCAAATTTGTCTTTGATATCTGCTGTGTGCTCCAAAAGAAAGTTATGAACATTTTCGCCACTAAAATTTGCACTGTTTCAATGACAGGAGTCAGCAATATAGCTGAAAGTGTTACTCACATACTACAAAGGAGCGTCAAAATAATATAAAGCTTTGCGCTAAGCTTAGACTGTCACCGATTATCCAAGTGTAGAAAACTTGGATACTTACAATCCATCAAGCTCTTTGCTTTATCGAATGGTATCTCTATCGTATGTACATGCATTATGCTTCCGAAAAAAGCAGATCTAATTTGGAAATGTCCGAAAACTTTCCCAACCTAATAAAGATTTGAAAGCAGCGTTTTAAGGCGCATTTACTGGTGTGCATCTCACTGCAAAAATCCCTGGTCACTAAGTTCCCTTATTAGCAGTAAGATTTGAGAGATTAATCTGCAATAAATCAATCAATGCAACTGCACACCTGCGTGAGCACTCGTCCTCAGGGGTGGTTTGTGATACGAAGGGGCGGTTTGTGATACGTATCACAAGCCCGTATCTCCTTTTAGAAACCACGTCAAAGGATCGGACCAACGCAGATCGGATACTCATGGGCCCCTCTTTACAACTATATGCTGATCTGGGTGGATGGATCTTGCCTAGACGCTGCCTTTAATGGGCGTAAAGTTTGCTAATTCCTTGGATTCTTTTCGGTTAATTTTATATGTTATCTACTTTGGATTGTCTGTCTTACGGCTTTTGAAATTTTTTTTGCTAGTCTCAAATTCCTGATCCTGTCCGAAGCGATCGGCGTTTTTTTTCGTTCACACCATTTTCCATGCTAATATGCACGTTTTCCTGGGCTCCGCAGCAGACCGCGCAAAAACGGTGCCCTCTTCGCTTCTACCCACAAACGATATCCAGCCTGTCCCGTAATCCACCAGTGACAAGCCTGCGCAGTGTGTCCATTTTCCCATCACTATTTCTATCAGTATCCTACATACAAGCGTCAATAAGATTTATTTTGTTCGCTTATCCGCTAACTGATCCGCTTCTTCGATTTGATGTTCTGATCATTAGCTTAGGTCTTTGCAGGGTTCCGCACAGGCATCCGCCAAGTGTTTCTTTTTGCAGACCTGGCTGCAGGCCTGAAATATTGTTTTTAATACTAATTTTACGAACTTGCTCATTTACATACTTTTTCGATAACGGCCTCACGGCATTTGGGGTCAGTTGATGGGCATATCCTCTAGCTGATCCGCTTCTCCGATTTGATGTTCTGATCATTAACTTTACCAGGTCTTTGCAGGGTTTCGTGCAGGCACCCACCAAGTTTTCGGGAAATTTCTTTCTGCAGGCCTGGCTGCAGCCCTGAAATATTGTTATCAATACTATTTTTACGAACTTGCTCATTGACATACATTTTCGAGAGCAGCCTCACGGCATTCGGGGTCATTTGATGGGCATAACCTGCCATGACACAAGCACACCAGAAGAGCAAGAATGTATACGTTGATGAACCACATGTCTGATTCTAGAAAATGCGCAATAGCTTAAAGTTAATAAAAGCATAGCTTGAAAACGATGTCACGGAAAAGAAGAACTATTGAAAACATTGGGAAAGGAAAGGAGAGAGGAGAGGGATAAATTTGTGAAGTTAACGAATTGTGTAACGTAAGCACATTTTATAGATTTTTAGAGTGATGTTCTACTCAACGAAGTTTTTATGTCAGCAATCATTCTGGCCAAAAATTTGTGCTCCAGAACATGTTATAATGCTAGCTGAAATAAGGGGAGCAAAACCGTCAAGGACGGAAAAGACCATTGCGCTTAACACATTCACACTTATATTTGTTTTGCATCGTTTTTATTTGATATCGGAAAATTATTAGGAAAAGCCGAAGTGCCGTAAGCGGCCTGGCGTACAAATCAGGTGGAACAAATTGCTGCAATAATTATACATATAGCGAGAACATATTGCACTTTAAACCGCCATCAAGCGTCTTCCCTGAAAGGCGTTTTGAAAACGCGCACAGGATTTTTTTATAAGCTTTTGACAGTGTTTGCCTGATGCAAAAGCTCTACATCATAATACGTTTGATCAGAAGCTGTAAGTACTGTCGATATAGTGAGGATCTCGAGAATCTTACACTTGTACAGCGAAGAATTTATTGTCAATTGTGTAAGTCCATTCTCACGTTTACTCGCTTCTTTCTGGTATTTTTTGTCGTATCAGGATGCGTAGCTGCGTCCAAAAACTCTCATCCTGTTCCGAACTTTTTTCTTTATTTTCCTCTATTGCTGAGTTTAGAAAAAAGCCAAGGACTTCAGACAGAAAGTTGAGAAGGTGATAACCATTTTCAAAGACTATCTTATTTCGCTACCCAAAGGTGAGAGTGCTTACTAAACAGCCTGAAAAATCTGCCACGTGTACGCGCATAGATTCGTACACTGCTCAGATTTGCTGAATCAATTTTTATTTCACTTGCTTAAAGATCGGTCTTCTCATTTTTTCTTCAGTTTCAACAGTGGACACCAGAAGGCATTTGAGAGAAATGATTGACGGATCTAGGAAATGGGGGAAAGAGTTTGTGGTTGCAGAATTTTTAAGTGTAACAATTGCTCACAAAGAAACCTGCAATTTGGGAAATATGCAGCTTAAAGGCAGCGTCCGGGCAAAATCTCAAACAAAATTTTTTTCGCTTACCTGGCCTTATTCTTCCCGTTGATTCCGAAAATGCAGCTTGCAGAGAACGAAGATGTCGAAAAAGGGCTTTTCCAGAGGCAGTTGATTTTGAATAATGACTCTTGCCGCCGAGGTTAAGACGCAGAGTCGCGTGCTCGACATACGTACTCTGGCTATCGATTAAGGGGCGGGCACGTCGCCGGGGCGGTCCTGTCGCCACTTCTGAAGCGGTTTTCTAGCTTCAGAAGCAAAGTGGTGTAAAGCCACTTGGACAAGAGCTCCACCAGGCCAAGAACCCCTGTACGCTACAGTTTCGTTTTTCCCCGGACGCTGACTTTAATTGGTAGCGACGAACATTGCCACTTATGGCATTAACCAATGAGCAAGGAAGCGAACAAGTGTAGATGACAGAATCTACAAAAGCGATTTGTTTCTTTTTGTTTCTATTCATGCTTGTTAAGTAAATTTTACCTATAGAAAACGAGAAAACTTACGGGGAATAAATTTCCAAGAAGCTTTTCTGAGTTTTCGAATTTTTTGCTAGATACCCAAAATATCTTACGAGATTTCTTGCTGAACTGCCGAATAAACAGGGTTAGAACTTTGAAATGCATATATCCGTCAAGAGGTTTGCAGAATATTGAGAAAAAACTTTAAAAGGTTGCGAATGAACTTATCACACAACAACGAAATATACTAATACGTTTATGGCATTCTCTAGTTAACAAAGGAGATTTCAAAAGTGTCAGTTAGAACCATTTTGAGTTAATTGAGTACAGGATGGTCCAAATGAAATGCGACGCAAGAAAAGTACTCGGTGCTTTTTTGATTTTAAAGGCAGCGTCCACCCAGAATTTGGCCCCCCATGTTTTCGTCATTCTGGGGCCTTTCCGTGGCTCTGATTACATTTCCGAACTTCAAACTCTCTAAAATTCGCAAAAAACCCGATTTTTGGGGACCCATTCTTGAGGGCGCGGACGGGTTTCGAATTGCTCGTCCCCGTCGGCAGGCCAGCGGGAAGGAGCTGCAACTGCATGGGTGCAGTTGCATTGCAGTGTGCAGTGTGCAGCTTCTGCTCACTACCTTGTCAATACGTGTCGGGAGTCACGTATTAACAAGGTAGTGAGCAGCCCCTGATGGGCGGAGTCTGATATCAGACTCCGCCCAGCCAGGGACTTTCAGGCCCCCTATCTCCATTCAGAGACAACGTTAGAAGACCGGACCAACGCAGATGCCCCTTTTCTGGGGCTTACATTCAGAATCGACACTAATCGGAGGGGGTTAGGTTTAGCCTGGACACTGCCTTTAACCTAGAAATTCTTTTCATAAATCCTACGAGGACTTTTCCTTGCCACGTGTCGAGGTAAAAACTAACATGTTTGAGCTCAGTTTGACGTGTTTTTTCAAAATCATTTCCGGTGAGGTACGAGAGCAATCGAAATGACTAGAAAGCTTTCAACGGCTTTTAGTAGAAACAAAACAATGCAAGACATCTTTCAGAACATTTTAGTCGCTTTGAGCAAAAATGCAGGAATTCTTCCCTTCAAAATTGTCTGCGCCTCCCCTCCCTTTCCCACGCGAATCCCCGTATGCAAAAAGGCAACACCGGAGAGGGGATCCCATGGGAGTAGGGGAGGGGAGCCCCCTTATGCAGAAGGGGAGATCGAGCGGGGAATTTATTTTGCTTCCGCTTTTTTTTGCAGTAATTATTCCCTTTTTCTTATCTTTTGATAGCTACTCGCCTTCAATGCGTCTCGGCGATATTTAGTCGTTGCGGAATGTCCTCTGCCGTGATTGCGGTCGGCGCACTAAAGAAATATTTCCTACATCCATTATATTCCAGCTGTTTTCATGGATGCTGCTCATTCTTGCTCATGCTGCCCATTTCAGCGTAGTGTTCAATAATAGAAGTCAAGGTGTATCTACAGTGAATGAGTAGAAGAGTTATGCTGCCGAAAAAAGGGGGGTGCTGCGGACATTCAAACCAGCATTTTTACACACGACTGAAGCTGCAAATCGTGCCAGCTCTCCATAAACGCTGTAGCTATCAGCTGCATATCGTCCTTTACCCCAGGGGAATGATCTCCAGCGCCATCCCTGCTATGCACGAGGGGAACGATGGGGAGGGGTCACTCCCTAGGGGATCACTACTCAGATTTAGACAAATCTGCTATTTTCTGAATTTTTTTAAGGCAGCTTATGTTAAATGAACAAGGTAAGAGCAATATATCATGTATAATAGTACATTATTTTTAATGTATTTGATCCGCCTATCTGGCTAAAACTACTATGTCATTTAAAAATGCGCAAATTTGTTGAATGATCAAGAACTCCTACAAATATTCGAAAATGGCAGCTATTATCGCTTGGGTTCCTTTTCAAGAGGGGAATTTAGAAGAGAAACAAGATTGCAAGTTACAGGTCGCTGAAAGGGGAAACCGGCTTGCAAAGAAAATCTTTCATCAAATTAAACGAATTGCTTTTAATAGATGATAAAACCAGAGTATTCGCTTCTCTGGCATGATCTACACCATCGAACCCCTATTCCTTTGCAAGGGATGTCGATTTCCTCCCCCGCGCTGCTGAGTTAAATTCGCGCATACGGGGTTCGAGTGGGGGAGGGGAAGGGATCGGTGGCTAAATGGAAATGAAAAAAACGAGGTCCCCCTTGACTTTTGGGAATTTTTACGAAGTCCCCTTTAACCCTCAACCACATTTCCTGTAGAAACCTAAAAAAATGCCCAAAATCCCCCAAAAAACGAAACGTCCATTGAAAAAAACGTCGCCAAGTCGCCAATTTTGCGTCTCTCTTCGGTCACAAAAACGAAACCCCCTTTGCTTTTCGTCCCAAAACGATATCCAGCTGCTTGAAAGCCACCTGTGCCGAGCCCTGTGTTCAGCTCTTACCAAACTTCTTTTCAGAAATTCGCAGTGACATGAGTTGAAAGAGCAGATCTTTTGCTTTTAGGTAAGCCAGAAAGAGAGTTTGTGGGATTAAGAGTGAGCGAGTCGAAAGACTAACTATTATTTTTTGACTGTTTGAAACACACTATCACGGTATCTCTTTTTTTTATACAGTGGATTGGGCCTAAAAAATCCAGACAGACTCTATGGCGTTTGCTTTGAACCAAAAAAGGTACCACAATCCAAAAAAGGAAGGAACCACAATGGGACAAACAAATTGTGGGATGACAACCATCATTGAAACATTGCACAAAATAGGCTAAAAATGTTTCGAAGTCCGTCGCCAAGTGGACCACATTTGGACAGATGAAGTTCAGCCTTCCAACTTGCCCCGTCTGAACTCATCCCGCAAATTTTCCCATTGATCTACTTGGAATCAAGAACTTGCTCTTACGAATCTACATCACTTTACTCACAGAAAAGAGATCCCTTGAAAGCCTCAGCCAAAATTTCCCCGAAAAGCTTTACGCGCATTGCAGGAACTAACTTTTTCCAAAGAGAATAAATCTTTTACCAGAGAGCAGAGGCGGCATCAAAAAGGTAGCTTATGAGATTCTATACAAAATTTTTTCAACTATCAGCTGAATGCAAAAAGGTTGTAATTTCATGCAGGTCTAGCAATGTTATGGAAATTTTCTTGCGTCACACTTTATGTGGATCACCCTGTAGGTAGCTAAGTAGGCAATATCGTGAGACAGTGCAAATGATAAGATGATTCCCTTACTTACTGATTAGCTGCTGCATTATACAGTATCTGCAGTATCCGCTTTTGTATGTAAATTTATCTCCTAGTAGCTGTTTGGGTGGAGGACACTAGGTCGCCGAAAGTGACGAGGTCCCGCGTGGAAAACGCAGCAGATACTCAGCCTGTGCATGCATTGGATGT